AGACTAGTCACTGCACAACATCCAAGTTCAGTATACCAGGCTCAGGCCGCTGTACATGCACAGTTGCTTCATGAATAAATTTGTTAAATTCACAATATCTGAAGGTTTGGGCTTATATCTAACCGAGAAGCAGGGTTTCAGCAAGAGTAAATCTTGACCTAAGCATTAGCTATAATTTTTAGCATCTGTAAAATTACCGGTATAGTGAGGCAAAGTGGTCCGTAAAATAGAGATGTCGCGGACCATTCGGGTCCGTAAAACAGATTTGTCGCCGACCATGGTCCGTTGGTCCGGTCCGGTCCGTTTTTTAGGGACGGCCGACCCTACCGCAATCCGCACTGATCCGCATTCTAGTAACGCCCCCTATCGGGCCCGCATATCGCATCTGGCCGGCCGGCCGGCCGGCGCGGCCGTCCTTTTTCGGGAGGGGCGAGTCTGTCCGTCTGTCCTCTTTTACAACAACAACCACATGGAGCATAGGTGCCGGTGTGTGAATGGAGTCGGTACGGCGCGGCGCGCATGCGCAGCTTTTATAGTTGGATCCATTCCTGTCTCTAACGGCATGTGATTAACTGATTTTTGCTTGGATTATATGTGTATTATCACTTGAATTTTCTTGATTATTGGTGGATTTCTGTGGATTTGGATTTTTTTGCTAGATTATTGGCTTTTCTGGATTATTTAAGACTGAAGTGTACGAGATTTTTCTTCACTGCGAGCCCTTCGAGATGGCCACGGGTGGATCAGGTTCTCTCGCAGTATGTTTGAATCACTTTATTTCACTTTACATTAGGAAGTAATACTGAATATGAAGGATGCTTATTATATGAGGAGAAAGGTTTAAACGATTATGCAGCAATATTTACTGTAGCTAAAGATGGAGACACACTCCATAATGTAAGTATAATAATTGGATGATACTTGATGTGTATTAATGTGTCTATTTACAGTATATTGGAAGAAAGCATCCTGGAGCTGAGATAGGTCATTATATCTACTTTACATTTGTTGGTGATTATATTCAATTAAAGTTTGATACTCCACAAGAAAGGGTATACACTGCGGGATGGAGTATTAAACCTGACACAGAACCTTGTCAAGTAAGTACTTGTATCATGTATATTATTAATGTGCGTCTGTGTGCATCAATAGATAAAAAGAAGTCATGTTGATAAGGTTGGTAAACCTGGTGATCATGATCCTCCCTCCTGCAGTATATCAGTACGTGCTACACTTGATGCTGTTCCTAGACTACGTTATACTATATCAGTAGAAGGTGTGGTAATTGTGTTTGGACTTGATACAGTGGTCATTAGAAGAACATTGAGAAGTAAGAGTGGGTGTGGTCTAGTATTAATAACCACACCATTACACTACTCACAAATTCACAATGCTAGTACTAATAATGCTAGTCGAATGCAATGCATTAATTGGGCGAGCTCGAGTCAGTCGTGGTTATGCGCTGACACTCTGCTGCTAGCTAGGCTATTTTTTATGAGTCTTCAACGGCCATCATTACCCTCTGAACATGAAGAAGATCACATCCTTTTCATTCCAGCTAGGTCATTGACGTTCAGCTTAAGCTTTCTTCTTGCTTCATTCGCATGTGTTTTTACAATACTTCATTAGAAAATTGCTACCGCATTGGATCATTGACAGAAAAATACCATACGCATTGTAATTTTAGAGGTGAATTATATATTTAGTTATTTTCATGCTCACCTTAAATCAAGAAAATTTAAATCACTTCTAATGCCATTCTATTGTATGTAGACTATATAGCCAGAACACGAAAATTAGCTACACGAATATTAACTTTAATTTGAGCACATTTCATTGAAAACACAAAATTTTAAACACTCGAAAATTTGAACGTCTACAGTAAACAGTAGTGCACACTTTGGGGCGTGACCAGAAGATGGGCGTGAATGGAGATGTACACCATACATACATACACACAAAAGACTTCTGCTACAGTGTGGCTTGCTCAAGCTCACCCCAAATATCGTACCTTCACTGGTATAAGTATTGTATTAATATTAATTTATTTGACCATTGACACATACATGTACTGTAATCCATCCTTATGATTTTTTAAATTAATTTATGTTCTATTGCTCCATAGTTCCTGTCTTACACATCGAGGATTTAAAGTTTGTACTTGACTCATTGAATGAAGCTCTCTTGTCACAGAAGGAATGGAAACCTCTTGGTGATGCTTTAGGGTTGTATCATCATACACTATTGGCTATTGAGCATAATAATCGAGGAATAGATCAATATTGTCTTAGGGAGTGTCTAGAAAAATGGTTAAACAGAGCTGATAATGTTGATGCTAGAGGAGGTCCAACAATAATCTCTCTACATAATGCTCTTGAGAGTATTGATGAGAAAGCAGCAGCTGATTATATCAGTAAGTTATTATAATAATTTTAATAGATTGTATCTATTCTTATGTGGTTTAACATAACAGAAGCTTTGATAATATAATTATGTAATGTATTGTCTTATATGAAGTTATTTTATATTTATTTATAGGAAAGAATATTATTAATAAAGGTTCTGCAGGTATTACATTATTATTATTCAAGAAATATTTTGTAGAGCTGGAACAAAGCTTCCAATGGTTCAAAGCTTTCTTCAAAGTACTGCCATTTGAAGGAGAAAATAAGCCTACAAAGTTTCAATATTATTATTACTAGTTACTAGGGAGAATGTACTGCATTAAGGGTACTGCCTAAGCAAGACATAGATTATCTATGTGCTGTTTGATGTATGAGCAAGCAATGCAATTGTACATGTCTAACTGCATGACTAATAATACCGTATAGCGGGTTTATTTTGAGGATAACAATTTTTGCCAATTTCATGGATTTTTGAAGATTTGCGAAATTAAAT